CCGCGCGCAGAGGCGCCGGGCGCCGCCTGCAAATCCGTTAACTGGGGGTTTGTGGCCTCCGACTGGAACTTCCTCCCCCTCCAACGGCAGGACTGGGCCGTCCGGCGGCTGCCGTCTGAGAATTGACCTCAAATCTTCCAGCATTCCCCTGGGTAGCTGTCTGCACTTGTAAGAGAAGAAAAGGACTTTCTGTTATTTGGGTTGGGGTCCTGGGGATTGAACCGGCATGCTCTACCACAGACACGTTCCAGCTCTTTTTACTTTTGGAGACCTGAGGCTGAGCCTTGAATTTGGGATCCTCTGCCTTGGCCTCCTGAGTTCTGAGATTACAGGTCTGACCCCGGCTTCTATTTATGTATTTATTTTGGTACCAGGGATTGACCCTAGGGGCACTTAACCACTTGGCCCATCCCCAGACCTTTTAAAATATTTAGAGATAGGGTCTCGCAGAGTTTCTTAGGGCCTCACAAAGTTGCTGAGCCTGGCTTTGAACTGGTGATCCTCCTACCTCAGCCTCCCGAGGCAAGCGGAGTGGCTGGGAGTACAGATGTGTGCCCAGCTAAGCTTGTTTGCTTTTAGTGCTGGGAATTAACCCAGGACCTTGAGCTTGGAGGCAAGTATACTACTTCTGAGCTACTTCTCAAACCTCCTATTTTAATTTTAATTATTTATTTGAGATGGAGGTCTCACCATGTTGCCCAGGCTGGTCTCCAGCAGTCCTTCTGCCTAGAAGCAGTTTTTTTGAAAGAAGAAAGCCTGGAGGGTAAAAAAAAAAAAATGTAGAATTTACATCAAGCAGTCTTAAGCTGGAGAGAGCTAGGCACCTTCCTTAACTCCCACCTCTCCTGGCCTCCCTAGATCTCTTAGGACCTCAGAACGGTGGTGGCCACTCATCTCTTGGGATCTCAGAATGGTGGTGGCCACTCATCAGCTGGCTCTGCTTGTGTGGGACTCCCTTTGTTGTCTTGGCCAACCACAGGGCAGAGGCCTCTGTGCTGAGACCCACCCCAGGACAGTCTCCATGTCAGCCAGAGGAAGAACAGGTCCAGCTGCCCTGACAAGTGTCTGGGGGAGGGGGGGGGTGTGCGCAGGTAGGGGCAGCGGTGTTTATCCTCAGATAACCCAGGGTAGTGGTGGGAGTGGTCAGCAAGTGAAACTGCAGAGTGTGAGCAGGTCTGATGACCCTGGCTAGCCCAGCTGATAGTTTTTTTCTGTTTACATGAGGCAAGGGTCACCTTGGCTGTCCGGAATCTGCCTTGTGGCCAGTGGACCAGATGGTGGGCATCTTGGTGAATTGCCTTGTGGTGAATCTGAAAATCCTCCAGGCTGGCCCTGGTGGGTCTTCCAGGATTAGTTCCCTGAGCCTCTGCCCTCAACTCCTCACCCTCCAATAAAGGGTTCCCCTGCCCAGTCTCCTGCTGGCTCATACCTCTTGCTTGGAAACCATCCCTCCTTGAAGATCCAGGACAGCTGTCCCTTCTGCTGCCTTTCTGCCACCTTGGGGGAGGTGGTAGGGGTTTGCTTTTTTGTCCCTGCTTTTTCCTCTACTGACTTTGGGGCTTCTCTGGAAGCCTTGGTTTCCTTATCTATAGAATTCGGGTAGGGATAGGACGGTTGGCTAAGGTTTCATCCTTGTCTTAATGGGACTCAAAATTCTTTCACCTGAGGACACATTGGCTGGCTAGAAGTGCCATAAGTTGACCTGAGCAAGAATAAGTTACTGGGAACTTCTACACATTGCAAGCCCCTTGTTCCTTCTCTGAAGTCAGAGTAGATATGCATGATGTGAGCATTTCACTGAACTGACTGTCCCAGTTAATATGATGTGGCAAATCGAAATACTGCATCCACCCTTCAGGAGGCTAGGGTCACGTAGCAAGAGCCAATCTAACACTTCCCAAGCTACTTTGCAGTGTAGTATTCTGAGCAGCACTAAATAGCAAGCAGCATGCTGCCTCTGAATCCAAATCCAATAGTTGTCAATAACTATTTCATTTAGAAATGAAATCAACCCAATCTCCAGTTCTTTTTTTTTTTTTTTTAAGAGAGAGTGAGAGAGAGAGGGGGACAGAGAGAGAGAATTTTAACATTTATTTATTTTTTCTTAGTTCTCGGCGGACACAACATCTTCGTTTGTATGTGGTGCTGAGGATCGAACCCGAGCCTCAGGCATGCTACTGCTTGAGCCACATCCCCAGCCCCAACCCAATCTCTATTTCAGTAAACATTAAACATTACTGTTTAGGGCTGGGGGTAGCTCAGTAGTGGATATTCTATGCATACAAAAGAATATTGTGGGGCTGGGGATGTGGCTCAAGCGGTAGCGTGCTCGCCTGGCATGCGTGCGACCCGGGTTCGATCCTCAGCACCACATACCAACAAAGATGTTGTGTCCGCCGAGAACTAAAAAAATAAATATTAAAAATTCTCTCTCTCTCTCTCTCTCT